TTTCCAAGGCAGTATCACTACAGAAGTAGGATTGCCCAACCTTCCTTCCGAGGAGTGGCTGGTGGGTTTGAACCACCAGCCTTCTGGTTAGCAGGAAACCCTATGGGGAGTTCTACTCTGTCCTATAGATCACTATGAGTTGGAATCAACTCAGTAGCAACAAGAATCTTTAGAAATGAAGTTCCTCACTGGTGCGAACTGCTAATGCATTCAGCTACTAACCAAGAGGTTGGATCTACTCAGAGGTGCCTTACAACCTTGGAAACCTCATAAGGGAGTTCTATGCTATCCTATAGGTCACTGTGAGTTGGAATCCATTCAGTGGCAACAGGAATCTTTAGAAATGAAGTTCCTCAGTGGTATGAACTGTTAATGCATTTGGCTACTAACCAAGAGATGAGTCCAACCACACAGAGGTGCCTTACAACCTTGGAAACACGATAGGGGAGTTCTACTCTGTTCTATAGGTCACTATGAGTTGGAATCAACTCAACAATGGGAATCTTTAGAAATGAATGTCCTCAGTAGTATGAACTGTTAATGCATTTGGCTACTAACCAAAAGGTTGGGGTCCACTTAGAGGTGCCTTGGAATAAAGGCCTGGTGACCTACTTCCAAAAAATCAGCCTCTGAAAATCCTATGGAGCACAATTCTACTTTAACGCATACACCTTGAGTTGGAATCAACTAGACAGCAGCTGGTTATCTTTAGAAATATATACAAAAAAAAAAGAAAAATAGATAAGATATACACACACATGGGAGCTCTGGTAGCACAGTGCCTAAAGCACTTGACTGCTAACCAGAAGGCTGGCAGTTCAAACCCACCAGCCACTCCTCAGAAGGAAGACGGAGCAATCTACTGCCGTAGTGATACTGCGTCGGAAACCCTAGGAGGGGTCGCTATGAGTCAGGCCCGACTCGACGGCACGTAACAACAACAACAACAATATATACAAATACACACAAAATATATGAAATGGTATGTCTGGGATTTGACTGAAAATACTAAAGTGAAAACGAAAGAAAGTACAAATCAAACAAGAATGGCCATAAGTTGATAATCATTCTTGCTATGTGGTTCACTATCCTATTTTCTCAACTTTTATTTATGTTTGAAAATTTCCTTAATTTTTTAATTAAAAAAAAGTTGTTCTACAGCTGCCCCCTTTGCCATGTGACCAGAAGAAACGGACAGTGCCCAGCATTCTGATCAAAGATTCCACTGAAGATCCTTACCAAAACGGGGAAATGTGGGTGAGAATTTCAAATTCTCAACGGGATCCAGACTTCCTGATTCTGCTGAGTCTGCATAAACCCCAAAACTATTTCTCTGAAATAATCTTTTAATATTAAACCAATACCCTGAAGTCTTCTCTGACGGTCCAAAAAAAAAAGCTTATTTTTTTTTTTAGCAAAGTATGGGTCTGCCTTGAGCATTATGCTCTTCTAAAAAAATTATCAAATTGACAATGAAAGGACGGATGGGAAGCTTAGCAGGGCACTGAGTTTAAGATAATGGTGGTAGAATAAAAAAGAAAGTGAGGTTGGTAGCACAACTTGAGAATGTAATCAACTCAGTGAATTGTGCCTGAAGAAATTGTGAAATAACATCTCTTTAGCTATATATATTCTCATAAGAATTTTTTTTAAAAAAATTTAAGATGTTCTGAGATACTTTTTATACCATTCATCTGTCAATCTGTTGTGGTGGCTTAGGTGAGGTAAGAGGATATGCCACCAGTATTTTGAATACCAGCAGGGTCACCCATGGTGGCCAGGTTTTCAGTGGAGCCTCCAGACTAAGACAGACTGGGAAGAAAGACAGGGCCATCAACTTCTGAAAAAACTGACCATTGAAAACCTTATGAAAAGCAAGGAAACAATGTTTGATGTATTACTAGAAAACTTCATGAAGAGCAGTGAAACACTATCTGATATAGTGCCAGAAGATGAGCCTCTCAGGTTGGAAGGCACTCAAAATGTGACTGGGGAATGAGCTGCCTCCTCAAAGTAAAGTTGACCTTAATGATGTGGATAGAGTAAAGCTTTTGGGACCTTCATTTGCTGATGTGGCAACATGACTCAAAATGGGAAGAAACAAGCTGTAAACATTCATTAATAATCGGTACACTCACCTGTAACCTTGCAATTTCTTCTCCAAATTTCTTCTGCTGTTTTGCCAGGAGAGACTGGTGGTACTCAGCATTGGCCTGCATGATACAGTGCTTTGCAGCCAAGACAGGGAACACCTCCTGGAAATAAAAATACTGACCAGGGGAGAGTCCAACCACACAAATCACCACAGACAACATGGGATGCAGGAAGAAAAAGGAAAAGGAGACAGAAATTAAAATCACCCCATTAAAAGCGTAGAGATAGGTTAGTCATTAGGTGTAAACAGAGAAGACCACATGATTTTTGCATGGACTGGATTTAATGGTTCAATTTTTTTCTTCCAGTTAAAATTAAGGGGTTTTTTTTTCCCCCTCAAACTGGTAATTAAAGCCAATTTAGGTTTTTGCAATCCTCTTTAACCAAGCCATGAAGTCAACATTTTGTTTACAAAGAAGAAAGAGAAGCATGCATTAGAAAGAAAGTAGAATGGATAATCACAGAGGGATCCCAAGCACAGGGCTTTAGAAGCTTTCTTATGAGCCATTACCCAGCCCTTCGAGTTAACTAAATCACCATTACTCACATATACTAATGAAATTGCTCTATAGCTGACTGTTTTCATCATGTTTAAAAGACAAAAGACAGTAAAGTAAGTTCCCACTTAAACTGATAGCCTATGAGACTTTTTAATAAAGAAAAAATCACATAAAAATTATTATGTCATATAACCACTAACATTCCAGTACCATATACTCAAAAACACATAGCAGACAGACAAATGTACTAAGTTAATGACTAAGAAGAGGATAAAGTATTATTTTGTCCTAATGTGTTTTGAAAAAATTCCAGTCAAAATGCATTTTGAAAGATACAAAGACATGAACCAGAAAAGCAGGGGTATACTGGTAGAGGCTCTCCCAAATACCAACTCCTAACCTGCAACTTCATTGTTATTATGAAGTACATGCCATATAAATTCCAAGAAATACACTAGACAATCACTGTCTAGACAAAAAAAAAATAAAGAGAATCAAAAACTGAATTACTACCTTGTGTGCTTTCCTATCTCCCAGTGAATAATTTCCTAGCTTCCTGGATCACTACTTGCAGATACTCCAGTTTTATAACTAGAATATGAAAATACCTTATGAGCTTTATTAGTACAAACAGAGCAATAAAAGACATCTAAATCTCAAACTGCCAGTTCTCAAAGTAAGCCTGGAGCAACTCAGTACTTAAATAGGAGATTTTCAAGGAATACCAGGAAACGCTGCAGAGGTAGATTCCAAGTCTTTGTAGGTCACATTCTTCTCTCCATGACAGGACTGAACTAATGGCCCAAGCAGATGTAACGGTACACTGTGCAGCTGAATGTAAAGTCTTTCAGATGGAGAAAAGGTGAGAGGAGATCCCAACTCTCTTTTTAAGAGTAATGTAATTAATACTCAAGAGCCTTGGCAAATTTTTACTGGGCTCTTGGCATATTTTAAATGCCCAGGCACCTTCACATTAACTCATTATTGTTCATTTCTGACTAAAGTGTATTGCTGGTGCACTTCTATGCATTTTTATTTCACTCCAAAGTTACCTGCAATTTTATCATTTACAAAGATTCCTAAACATGATTTATAAATAAGTCAATAAATTCCCCTATAAGAGATGTTACAAATATCATATGCTGTCATATCTATGAAACTACTTGAACATTTCTGAAGAAGAGTAGTTGAAAGACACAATATTCCACTCAATCTTTAAGTTTCCTTTTTCACTCACTCTAACTTTGTCAGTCTAGTACTCTGCTTTGTCATTTACAAATGGTCATCACTGAACAGTCTTTTCAAATGCCACTTCAGAAAAGTTTACTTAAAACATACTACTTCCTGTGAGATGTAGTTTATGATAATTCATTTCCTAAACTGTCCAACAGCAACCCAACCTTCTATCCCTATTAGCAAAACTTAATTCTAATCAAATTATTAGACGAAACTATGAAGTTGTCTTTTCTTTTTCATTATCTTTGGTTTTGAACTTCCTGCTAAGACTCAGCTTTAAGAAAAGAGGACAATAATTAAAAGTGTGAATAATCAACATGCACAAGTATTCATGCTTCTACCAAATCATCAATGATTCAAAATTACATAATTACATGATCTGGCAGGATTATGAAGACAAGATGGTCAAAAGTTTCCAGAAAGAATTTTAGTTTGGAAAACAAGTTTAGTAAAGAGCAAAGACAAAGGCATCCTTTATATACAAGACAAGTTATATGCATTTTAAATTTAAAAAACTATTTCTACAAATATATTTTTCAAATTGCCTGTCTTAAAATTTAAAATTTCCTTAAAGTATATTATTTTCAACTTGCTTCTTATACACAAAAATACTTCCACATGCAAAACTGATTGTTTATAAAAACAATAACTGACCTTGGGGAGAGTATCTTTGTATTGACACTGTTTGAAAGCATCACCAAAATAATCTGCAGCCTGATTGGCCAATTTAGCTATTATAGCATCTTTCATTTTATCTGGAATAAAATATTGATTATTATAATTAAAATAAACATGAAATAATCTGATATATCATGATGACACAGTACAGATATTGAGATTACATGTTTGTACATTTGTCTTAAAAAGTTCTTACTGATGAAAATCAATTCTTCTGCATAAAACTTAATCATTCCATAGGTAAACCCATAGAGGGAAAATAGTAAGTGGTTGCCAGAGACTAGAGGGAAGGGTAATGGGACATGACTGCTAACAGACATGGGCTTTCTTTTGGGGGTGATAAAAATGTTCTGAAATTAAATAGTGGTAAAGGTTGCACAATTCTGTGAATATACTAAAAAATCACTGAATTTTATACTTCGAAAAGCTCAATCTTAGGGTATCAAGTTAGATCTCAATATAAAGCTATTATTTAAAAAAAAATTTATTCTAATTTATATTTCTTTCCACATGATGGCTGCTCCTTTATTTTCAATTTCCTTGCACTCTGTATTTGACCCATATTCTAATCTCTCACACATGCACTCCTCACTTATCAAGATGGTTAGGTTCCAAAAACCAGGTTTTATGTAAAAATTGGCATTAGGTGAAAATGGAAGATGACCACATCAGATCACAAAATGAAGGATGACTATATCATTATATAACTGCCAAACCAATGAGAATCATGGCCCAGGTGAGCTGACACAAAGATTAACCATCACAGCCAGTATTACCACTGCCTCACATACCTCAGCATTCATTACTAACAGATGTCCATCATTAATGTGCAAAATCGTCTTAAATGTAAAATGTTAGATAACAAAATAGTAAGGAGTAGGTGTTCTAACTAACATAACTTATAAGAATTATATTATTGTATGGAACATGAATTTGCTCTGTAAATTTTCACCCAAATCACATTTTAAGAAAAAAAAAAAAAAAATTGTACTTATTCCTTCATTCACAAGGCAAGAGACTCTGCCTGGATGTTATTTACGTTTAGTGTAAACACAGCCTCCTCAGAGAAACACTTCTTATCTAATGAATCTAAATTCACATAACTCTCTCCACACTCCTCCCCGCAACCAGATCACCAGCCACTATCACCTAATCCCATTCTTATTTTTTTCATAGCTCTATCACATGCGCACACTCTCTCTTTGAAATTACCATAGCTACTTAATTTCTTTTTTTTTTCTGTCACTCCTTACACAAAATGAAAATAGGAACATTAGTTGTCTGCTAAGGTTTATCTAAAACTCAGAACAGTGGCTGGCACACACTAAGCACATAATAAATATTTGCCATATAAATGTTTGATATATTATGAATATACATAAATACTATTCCAGAGTTCAGTGTTTAAGGATAATAACTAACTATCCATTTCATAACAGACTTCGAATATAACCTACAACTTAAGTGTGTCTCTGTACCACCACCCATTCAGAAAAGGGAAGTTGGAAATTTTCAATAAGCTTTGAGTCAAGTTCAAAAAGGAAAGCTCTATGTTGAACATATTACACTGTAATCACCTTGTTGGTTTAAATGTCTACTGCTTCTTTACACATGCAGCAAAATGGAGTACAAATTGGAATTACCTCTTGTAGCTTTTAAAAAAAATACTTCTTGGGCCTGCGCAAGCATAATAAGACTGAGGGTCCCAACAGTATCTGGAGATATGTCCACGGTAGGGTCTCGATTTAAGGCAGATAAAACCGTCTCTTTAATATGCAAAAAGGCACCACTAGCAAACTAGAGAGAAAGGGGAGAAAATACTTTTTTTTTAATGTACAGAACTCAGCAAGACTTAATTCTCTACTCTCTCAAATATCATTTTCAAATGTCACCTGAATGGGCCATTATAGTATTTACATTTTCATACTGTGCAAAACAAATCTAAAACATCTGAAGTACTTTTCAACAAAACTCTATATAAAGTAACAAGAGGTTTACGGAAGATTAAATCACAGGGCAAAGTAAATTAATGGGGCAAATTAATTGAGCTTATTTTTAGATTCAGTCCCTCAAAGCAAGCATGAGAATAGTAGCAAAGCTAAACATAACTACAATGTTTTTCATATTGAAATGCTCTTTGTTTGGTCCCAAACAAATTCATCTCTCCAGTAATTAAACACAGTGCACTTAGGAGAAAGAAGGTCAGTGGTACAGTTGTTGAACTCAAAAAGACCACTTTATTAGTATTTCTGACCTTCAGTTTCCTCATTCGTAAAATGGGAATGACACTATGTGACCTGCTTCACAAGGTTTACCCAAAGTCAAATAATGTACATGAAAATACTTTGTAAATTATAAAGTAATAAGAAATACTGAGAACATGATTATACATATGACTTAGCAATAATCACTTATTTATTGTTCCTGAAATGGAAACAAATACATAAAACCTCTGAGTAAAAAACTGCTACAAAGTACTATGACACATTAGCGAATTATTAGAACCTAGAATATGGATTTAGCAAACTTAATAACATTAGTTATATGACATTAAATATGACCTCTCCAGTCTCAGAATTAAACGTTGATTTTCTTGACAAGAGGTCTTAATTCTCACAACACTCGTAAAATTTTAGGTATGCCTCATTTTAAGGAAACAGTACGTAAAAATAATGTATAAAATTTTTAAATGAGATTATTTATTTCATACAGATTTAACAAAGATTTTGTCTCATACATTTAATCATTTGTTCAGCTAACATTTATTGACCCTCTATTATGTGCCAGGCACTGTGCTAGGTGCAGCTGGGTGGTAAGGGAAAACTGACCTGGTCTATATGTAAGTAGTTTATCTAAGTGCTTCAAGGATATGAATTTAAGTACATTACTTGTCAAGAAAACATCTGCTGTGTAAAGAAGAATCTATGAATCTAAAAGCAAATCATTTTCAATTTAATCCAACTTAGCACTAATCATTATTTTGTAACTACTTTTCTGCATACCTGGTAATGCTTAGCAGCGACTTTCAATCCTTCATCATTATCCAGGTTCTGTTCCGCTGCAATCTGGCTAGCTAAGGCCGCACAATTGAACAACACACAGCTCTTTTCATAGCCTAAGCTTGCAAGAGCTGTGAAAATTGAAAAGGAAAAATGTATCAGATTATTTTTTCTAAAAAAAAAAAAAAGAGAAATACTATGACCCCTATGCCAATGACTCATAAAACTAAGTACTAGATCCATTTTCTCACCTATAATGTATTCCCACATTTCTAACTACACTACCAGGCATCTTTTCCATAATGTTCTGCCGTCTAAAACTCCAACAATCAATAAATTATTTTTTCTTTTCTTCCCTTTACTTACACATCTTTTACAATCAGTTTCAAAATCTAAAATTCATTCTCATAGCATTTCTCACTTATCTTCTTCAATTCAAATAAATTCTGTCCATTTTTCCAACATCTCTCTCAAAATTACATCTACTTACTGTACCTCCTAGCTGGCCTTTCATGCCTTACTCCTATGCCTATACATTTCTTAGAAGGCTAGAAGATTAGTTTGGCTAAAATACAACTCAAGAATCTACAATAAATAGCTCTCTATTACTTGTGAAATCAATCACAGTGGCATTTAAGGCCTTATATAATGTGTCAGGCACTGACCACCAAACAAAATAACCAGAAATGAACAAACCACCTAGGAGAACAAGAACGTTACATACTGAATCAAAATCTACATTTTAACAAGCTCACCAGGTGATTCTTATGTATTGATCTTGTTAAAATGTAGATTCTGATTCAGTATATCTGGGGTGGAAGTACAAATTCTCAGCAGAGGTCAAACCGGAATGAACTGGTTCCAAGTCCTGTCTCCTTGTTACAGAATGCTGGTAACCTCCCTTGTGATAATGTCCAGCTTTCAGCTTACTTTAACCCAATTCTAGCTTCCTTGCCCTGTTGTGAAGCAGACAAACATACCAGTACTCTTAACTACTTCATAAATAAGTATGTGAAAATATAGAGTAACCAGGATATGAGGAGAACTCACAGTAAAATAGAGAAAGATCAAAGTGAACTGAAAAAGTGAGCACAAAGAAAGACTATTCCAGTAAAAAAAAGACATTTCAAAAATCATAATTAGCATCTTTAGAGAGATTTAAGAAGATGGTACAGGTATAAAACAGTAATAGAATGTTATTTTAAAAAAATAATCAGGTGACTATGGACCAAAACAACTAGATAGTGCCTAAGGGATCTATGTAGGAGATCCTGAATAAGAGGGAGAACAAAATGGAACAAAACTCAAAATCATTTAAAAAAAAAGGGGGGGGGACCAAGTTTGCTGGTCTCATAGCGCCTGATGGAACCACTGAGACTATGGCCTCTAGGTGCCCTTCAGGTCTGGAACTGAACCCACTCCTGTGGCTTCCAGCCCAACAAAAGACAGGCATATGAGCTGAACATTCAAATTAGATAGATACACTCCTTGGAGAGCTCAATCATGGGAGACTAGAAGGGCTATGTATGCACAGGGAGACAGCTGGGGGGCGGGGCAGGAGTGCATGGAGGGAAGGATACAGGAAGAGGTAACTATGGGAAGGAAGTAGGAGGGGAGTTGTTGCATTGTGGGAGATTGCAGTCAATGTCATGAGACAAAGTGTATGTAAACTGCTGTATGATAGATGAATTTGTTCTGTAAACATTCACCCAAATCACAATAGAATTTTTAAAAATAGTAATAATCAGAGAATAAGAAAAAGCTCCTGGAAATTTAAAACTTGAATGATAAAAGTGTTTTGAAAGAAAGCTTGGAAGTAGAGTTAGAAAATAGTGTTTATATAGTCTATCAGATAGTAGAACATAAAGTCAAAGAAATGAAAAATGTATGTGTTACAAATGAGTAACTCAGAACAGCCAACATCCAACTAATAAAGCATTCCAAAGGCAAAAGAGAAAAAAGATACAAAGAAATTATCACCAAAATATAAGAAAATACCCAGGGACTTTGAGGGAGACATGAGTCTTCAAACTGAAAGGGCCATCAACGGACACCATATGCAAAGAAAAAAATGAGATCCAATTAGATCTTCCAAGATTCTAAATAAGAAGGATAATCTTTACAGGAAAAAAAGGTCACCTACAAAAGAATAAAAATACTACTTGTATGTTAACAATGGATAATAAAAGATAAGGGAGGAACACCTTTTAGTTCTAAAGAAATACAATAAACTAATTCAACAAATATATATTGAGGTTTGTTGTTGAGGTGCCATCGAGTCGGCTCCAATTCATAATGACTCTATGTACAGCTCTGGTGGCATAGTGCCTAAGACATCTGACTGCTAACCAGAAGGCTGGAGGTCCAAACCCACCAGCCACTCCTCAGAAGGAAGACTGGGCAATCTACTCCTGCACTGATACTGCCTCAGAAACCCAAGGTTGGATCTGACTTGCTGGCAGCGAGTTTGGTTTTGGTTTGTACGTACAGCAGAATGCAAAACTGCCCAGTCCTGCATCATTCTCACAATCCTTGCTATACCTGAGCCCATCGTTGCAGCCACTGTGTCAATCCAACTCATTGAAGGCCTTCCCCTTTTTCATTGACCCTCCACTTTATCATGATATCCTTCTCCAGGGAATGGTCCCTTCTGGCAACATGACCAAAGTAGGTGAGACAAAGTCTGGCTACTCTCACTTCTAAAGAGCATTTGGGCAGCACTTCTTGGACGACAGATTTGTTTGTTCTCCAGGCAGTCCACAGTATTTTCAGTATTCTTCGCCAACGCAATTCAAAGGCATCAACTTGTCCTAGGTCTTCCTTATTCATTGTCCAGCTTTCACATGTATATGAGGTGATAGAAAATACCATGTCTTAGGTTAGGCACACCTTAGTCTTTGAAGTAACATTTTTGCTCCACAACACTTTAAAAAGGTCTTTTGCCACAGGCTAGTATGGCTGGAAGGAGCTCTGGTAGCATAGTGGCTAAAGCACTTGACTGCTAACCAGAAGGCTGGCGGTTCAAACCCACCAGCCACTCCTCGGAAGGAAGGTTGGGCAATCCTACTTTCGTAGTGATACTGCCTCGGAAACCCAAGGAGGGGTCACTATGAGTCGGGGCCGACTCGACGGCACATAACAACAACAACAACAAGAAGTATGGCTGGAAAGAAGAGCCCTGGTCAATCAACAATTAAGCACTCAGCTACTCATAGAAAGGTCAGCAACTTAAACCCACCCAGCAGCTCCTAGGGAGAAAGACCTGACAATCTGTTCCTGGAAAGATTACAACCTAGAAAACAGTATGTGGCCAATCTCTGTCACATGGGGTCGCTCACTAAGCAAGAATTGACTCGACAGCACCTAACAACATTAACAACACGATTAGAAAGCAGTGAGCAAAGGGTAGGCAGAGGTCAAAGAGCCAACATGTATTGTAAAGCATTTGGCTTTTACTCTGAAGTAGGAAGTCAACAGAGTTTTAAACAAAGAACTACAGAGAACAGGAAGTAGGGAAGCAACCATTTAAAAAAAAAAAGAGAGAGAGACTAGGAAGATGACAGTGGCTCAGCAGAGAATGACAGCAGCAGAATTAATAAGAACTGATTGCATCTTGAGTATATTTTAAAGGAAACTGTTAAGATTTACTAATGAATTAGATGTGAGAAGTGTAACAAAACAGAGTCAAGGATGATGCCAGTGTTTTTGATCTAAGCACTCAGATGCTAGAATTTCAAACCAAATTGTGTGAGGGCAGAATACAGACATTTTCAGAAAGAAGATTCAGAAAGTTGGCCTTTTTCAGAAACTTACCTGATAATATATTCCAGCAAAAACAGGAAGCACAAGAGCCAGAAAATAATGAGTTCTAACCTAGTAGAGCAGCCATGGTCCAGGATGACAGCTAGGCAACATCTTTAGAGAACAAACAGTGCAGATTCAAACAAGAAAACAGAAGAGGCCATAAAGGAGATCTCTCAGGAAAAGGGCACTCCAGACAAACAGTAAGTCTGAGCATTTCAGAAATCTTAAAAATATGACAGAAGCACAGAATGCATGTGTTGGAGGAGCATTTAAAATCCCTTAAACACATACACACAGCAGTACAAGAAAGTTATGATCTAAATACAAAGCAAATGGTCTACTATATGACAGCAAGTTGATGAACTTCAAAGAGAATGAAATGTATTCCAAACAACAGATTAAATAAACTCTTTATATAAAAAATAAATACCCTGGTATGTTGTATTTCCCAAAACTTATTCAATAGGTGGGGACCAGGTTTGCTGGTCCAATGGAGCCTGGTGTAACCACTGAGACTATGGCCCCTAGCTGCCCTTCAGGTCTGGAATTGAACCCACAACTGTGGTTTCCAGCCAAACAAAGTACAGGCATGTGAGTTAAACATTTACCTCAAGTAGACACACGCCCTGGAGAGAACAATCATGGGAGAAGGAAGGGTTGCTTATGCACAGGGAGATAGCTCAGGGTGCAGAAGAGTATGAAGGGATGGACACTGGGAGGAGGTAACTATGGGGAGGAAGTGGGAGGGGAGCTGCTGCATTGTAAATTTTGGTCAATGACATGAGATAAAGTATATGTGAACTGCTGTATGAAAAGTGAATTTACTCTGTAAATCTTCACCCAAATCCCAATTAAAAAAAAAAGGAAAAAACTTATTCAATAGTTAAAGTAGTGGCATATATGTCTGCTTCATAATAGGGTAGGAAGCCACACTTTGTGTGCAATATGTGTGGAGTAATCGCTCATCATCTGTTAGCTATTATTTATAAAAAGAGAGATTTCATATTCTTCACAATCTACTTTACAATCTCATTGCTTTCATAATCGCAATTCAATCTATGATGTTAAGCCATAGAAAATATCTATTATTATTATGTGTTTCATTCTGTTGTACATAAGGTCTCTATGAATCAGAGACAACTTGACAGCAGCTAACGACATCATATATATTATACTATAGTACTTTGGGCATGTTATCAGGAGGAGTCCTGGAGAAGGACGTGGTAAAGTAGAGGGTAAAGGTCCAGCGAAAAAGAGGAAAACCCTCAACAAGATGGATTGACACAGTGGCCGCAGCAATGCGCTCAAGTATGGCAACTGCTGTGAGGATGGCACAGGACCAGGCATGTTTCATTCTGTTGTACACAAGGTTGCTACGAGTCGAAACCTATTTGATGGCACCTACCAACAACTATCGTGTATCATTTAATATGCAATATTATATACTACATAACATGTATATATCACATTATATGTATGTATTATGCTATAACTTTATATAATACATACCAGCTACTATTAATTACAGGTAATACTTACTGAGCACTATTCTAAGCACTGTATATATATTCACTCAAAAGGCGTTAATGTTTCTGCAACTCTGGTTATAATATTCTACCTATAATGTTATCTTCTACCTTGAAGCACTGAATTTACCCTTTAAACATCACTTGCTTTCAACATGCAGAATTCTTCTTCATCTATGTTCCTGTAAGTCTGCTCATAAACTGGTATGGTACACACCACATTTTAGAATGACCAACTGTCTTCCCACCCAGACTGAGCATAACTGTAACGGTAGACAGTATCTTAACCATTTTTATCACTAGTACAGTGTCTGGCAAAGTATAGGCTCTCCACAAATACTTGAAAATTTCATTAAAAGTCAAAGTTAAAAAGAAATGAAATATATATTGGGTGCACAAGTGTGCTGTACTATAATCACCTCCCATCTTCTCCATAGCTACCAATGGACATAAGAGCTACTAAGGAACACAAAGCACAGGCCTTAGGTAGAGATGATTGCCCTCTGAGAGATACAAAACATTTATTATCTTAAGTGCAGCAAAGGGAAAGGACTATTCTACTGACCCCAGTAAGCCTAGGAGATGGTCACAACCCTTGAGCAGGAGGCAATGAGTAGTGACCTTGCCTGCCAGGGGCTTTTCCCCTTTTATTATCCCCTTCCCGCACATGCCATCTGGCGTGTAATCATTGTAACTTGCTAGTTTATTAGCCCAAGAGAGATGTACTTCATTCAGGGTCCCTCTCTCATGATGCAAAGTGGGGCACACTTGGATACAATCATAATATCCTACCCTGAGATGGGAATGTAACTTTAGGGAACCCTGGCTGATAATGTTTACTGTTCCACTCATCGCTCTCTTGTTTATTCTTTGAGTAATAAATGCTTGCTGATTATGCTGTTAGAAGTGTCTGGTCTATGCTCTGTTCCAAATAGCCCTTAACACTAAGAAGTTGTGAACTCAGTATATAGCAGTGCAAAAAAACTTTAGTATTCATGAAGAGTCATTAGGAGAGCAATTTCAAAGACCTAATACAATACAAAGCATTTAAACCAAGTATGCTATCACTTTATTTTCATAAAACCTACATACCCAATTTTACAGATCCTCCAAAAAGTGAACCTTTATCAAAAGCATCCTTCCAAGTAAATGTCAAACAAATCTGGATAGGAGAAAGAAGACAGGAAATTATGGTACCTTCCGGGATCTCATTAAAGTCTTTTTCAAGAAAATTCACAATGAGGAAAAGGACAAAAGCTTTAATCTGTCTAAAACATTACCTCTTCTACCCAACAAACTCCTTTTCCTTTTCCTGGACCACAAATTAAAAAATTTTTCAAGTAAAATGTTAGCATTAGAATATTCTAAGTAGTCTTTTTGCCTCAGTAATTATACATATATTATTTTCTCCCCAAATACTGTCTAATTCATCTTCACAAACACAGAACGGTTTGAACAAAGCAAGCACTTAATGAATGCTTGTCAAATAAGCTAGGAGAAACAAAGGCAAAAAGTATGTACTACAGACTTCCCAGAAGATAAAATTAAAAACAATTCCATAAGGACAAAAGTAGGACAATGGTTACCTTCTGGATGAGATATTTTATTTCTTGATTTGGGTAGTGTGAAGACTCAAGCTAGATACATGATTTCTTCACTTTTCTCTATGTATGCTATACCTCAATAAAAATTTTACATATTGAAAAATGCATCTCACTCTGCTATTAAAGTACCACACATACCAAAGTTAAAAAGAAGTTAGCCTCATTTAAATATTTACTGCAAACCAATGTTTTGCTGTTGTTGTAACATACCGTTGAGTCAGACCTGACTCATAGCGACCCCTCCTTGGGTTTCTGAGGCAGTATCACTACAGAAGTAGATTGCCCAACCTTCCTTCCGAGGAGCGGCTGGTGGGTTTGAACTGCCAGCCTTCTGGTTAGCAGTCAAGTGCCTTAGGCACTATGCTACCAGAGACATACCAAAGTTTATTAACTTTGTATTAAGGAAATTTTCAAATACACACAAAAGTAGAAAGAATAACGCAATGAATCCCCATACACCCATCACCAACTTTAACCTTTTGCCCTTCCTGAATGATTTACCTCCCCTCTTCTACACACAGACACATTTTTGTCCCCCCTGGAGCATTTTAAAGCAAATCTGAGACATATTATTTCACCTATAAAACCATTAGTACAACTGGATAGAGTGGAAGAACAATGTGGTACAAAACTCAAAATCATTAGGAAGAAAAAAAGGGACCAGGTTTGCTGGTCTGATAGAGCTTCATGGAACCACTGACACTATGACCCCTAGCTGCCCTTCAGGTCTGGAATTGAACCCATTCCTGTGGCTTCCAGCCAAACAATAGACAGGCATATGAACTGAACATTTACATTAGGTAGATACACTCCTTGAAGAGATCAATCATGGGAGAATAGAAGTGCTGCCTATCCACAGGGAGACAGCTCAGGGGAGAGGAATGCATGGGAGGGAAGGACACAGGGAAGAGGTAACTATGGGGAGGAAATGGGAGGGGAGCTATTGCATTGTGGTAAATTGTAGTCAATGTCATGAGACAAAGTGTATGTGAACTGCTGTATGGAAAGTGAATTTGCTCTGTAAACTTTCACCCAAATCACAATTTAAAAAAAAAAAAGAAATTTTAGGTATAAGAAATCCTGCTTGTATGAACTTGGAGGACATTACGCTGAGTGAAATAAGTCAATCACAAAAGGACAAACGTAGTATTAGTTCATTATTGTAAAAAGTCAAGGAAAGTATTATATATGGAGGGAAACTTTCTTTGTTGCTTACCAGGGATGGGAGAGGAGGGGAGAGGGAACACTGCCCCAAAAAAAAAAAAAACATTAATACAAGACGGTTGGTTGTTCAAAGTCTTCTCTCAAACTATTTTAAAATTTACAAGTGCCATATAAATTAAAAATTTTTAACAAGTCTCCAAAATAAAAGTTTTTAAATTATTAGCATTTTCAACATCTAGTCTTCAAGAGTGAACGAAGTTGACATTTTTATAGTGTACACTTAATCGTAACAGCTTTTGTAACATTTACAAGCAAATGTAAACTTTACCCAATTTTTTTAAAGCACATGAACTAATACTAACACTTCTTGTAATAGTTTCCTTCTTATTTCTATAAAAGCCCAGGGGAAGGATATAGCAATTACATTAATTAGTCAACAGAGTCAACTGTTAGAAGATGCAGTTCAGTGCTCTACATGAGCACAGAAGTGATGAGAAATTGCATGAATAGAATTCTAGAAGGCTCCTTCTTCAGAAGGGAATAGATAGGTCTAAAAGTTTCTAATCTGTATAAAACTGCTTTACCACAGAACCTAAAGATGGTGAAGAGACATCGCTTATTTCAACAAAATGAAACCATAGATAGAGGAAATGGGTGACTTTCAACTACCATATAACTTGAAAACAAATTAAGATAAATGACTTACCTGATTTTCAGAAAATGGAAATTTGGGCTCAATGGAACAAATCTGATCATAATATCTGAAAAACAGAAAATAAATGTATCAGAGCTACATATAATATGGGAGCTCTGGTAGCATAGTGGCTAAGGCACTTGACTGCTAACCAGAAGGCTGGCGGTTCAAACCCACCAGCCACTCCTCGGAAGGAAGATGGGGCAGTCTACTTCCGTAGTGATACTGCCTCGGAAACCCAAGGAGGGGTCGCTATGAGTCGGGTCCGGCTCGACGGCACACAACAACAACACATATAATACACAGTTTAAACTGGTTTAAGAATATACAGAAATTATCCATGCTTACTTTAAACAGATGAGAAATCAAAATCAATCAGATATTTTAAGGTTAATAAAACTAGTCACTTAATGTGCAAACCAGGAACTAAATCGTATGCAATGAAAAACTGAACAAAAAAACTCATACTCACCACCACAGAATAATATTTATCAACTATTTTTTTGGCTAAAAACAAGCATTAACATCTGCCCAGGAAATCACCATTATTTCTTAAAATACCATTTTTTAATAAGCTAATTGTGTTCACATCCATCAGATAAATTAGTTTGTCAGGTAAAGTCCTGATTTAAAACACCACATTACCAACTATTTTTGCCTAAAAGGAAACAAACATCTACCCAGGAAAGTATGAATTTCTTAAAATATTGCTCCTTATTAAGATAACTATCCATTGGACAAATTACTTTCTATGGTACACTGCTGCTTAGAAAGAAGCATGTCAACTTTCAGATATGTTGTGGGTATGTCTATTTCTGCCTATCTCCACCTTTGCCACACAGCATCAAACAGCATCAAACTACCATCCCATCTTTCAGGTAGACTAATCCAAAAATTTCATAGCCAATCACAAAGGAGAAAAAAACCAAAGGAAACAGTAAGTTACTTTTCTTACTCTTTTCAAATCTATGCTGCACACAGCAACCAAAATGATCTTCGTTGAACATGAAGCAGTCTTCCTCCTCATCTGGATGAGCTTTCAGTTGGCAAGCCCAGTGTCAGGATCAGGAGTCAGGACCAAGCTGTTTCATTAGTATCTAGTCTTCCCTCTTTCTTTCATACTTCCCTCTTCATGGAGGGAATATCCTAGGATTTTTCTGGGCCAAGTTTTCAGCAGGATTTGGAGGGAGGGTAGTATGTCTGAGACCATGCTTTTGGCTGGCATGCCCATGATTTTAGTTATAAACAGGAAGAAATGAGCAAGTAAGTAAATACACTAAAGAAAATGGGAGCCAAAAAAAGAAAGAAAGAAAATGCAAGCCAGGTTTTCTCATTGTCACAGACAGGAATCACAAATATGGGAAGTGGGAAGGCTAGAATACACTCTGTCGTTTTGGAACTGAATCAGTAACTTGTGCAATGTAATGTTTATAATATAGCAGAGATATACAAAAACATGTATATGTGTTTCTTAAATGTATATGCTGAGAGGGCCCAGAAACAGTGGCATCTCAGTAGAATAAGCACATCTAATCCAGTAAGTAATACTCTGCATTAAAAGGAACCAGTTCTCCTTAGAGAAATCACTGACTACAAGGGTGAAGCCAGTAAAATTCAAGATGATCCTAACACATCTTGTTATGACAGAAAGTAAGAAAGTACTCAAAAAATGAGGAGGACATTTCAAAAGAAGATAGGAATTAGCTTAAAGGGGCTCTCACAAGCAAAATTAAATAGAATAAATTTTGGTGGCTTTGGTGGGTTTGAACCACTTACCTTTCGGTTAGCAGCCCAATGCTTTAACCACAGTGCCACCAGAGCTCCTTAGAATAAATAGTAGTAATGAATTATAACCCATTGAGAAAAATAAGAAAGCTATATTAGTATAAATAAGTAGGGAAAAAGAGAAAGCTCTACCCTACAGGAGAATGCTAGCTAATGAATTAGAAGAAATAATGGATAAATTATATAATATACAATTTTACAACAACCAAATTTTATGCATATGGTTACACAGGTAGATATATAAGTATACAGGAAAGCATATGTGATACATGTGCATGTATGTATCTGTAGACAGATGTATAGACATGTTTGTGTGTAGTCCGTATTTTTTTTTCATTTTTATTGTGATTTGGGTGAAAGTTTGCACAGTGAATTCATTTTCCATACAGCAGTTCATATACATTTTGTTTCATGACATTGACTACAATCCTCACAAAGTAACAGCTCTCTGCCCACTTCTGCCCCATAGTTACCTGCTCCCTGTGTCCTTCTTTCCTATGCATTCCCGCCCCCTGAGCTATTTCTCTGTGCAAATATTGCCCTTCATGATTGATTATTCTGAAGAGTGTATCTACCTGTTGTAAATGTTCACCCTAAACACCTGTCTATTGTTTGGCTGTAAGCCATGGGAGTGAGTTCAATTCTAGGCTTGAGGGTAACTAGAAGCCATAGTCTCAGGGTTTCTATATATTCATATATATAATAAACCACATGGGAGGCATGGAAACTTCCTAGACAAATCCAAACCATGAGATTGGTTTACTGGGTTTAAAGACTTGGAATTATATCTCATGGGACAACTCAAGTCAACTGGCATAACATAGCTCATAAAGATGTCCTACACCCTAGTTTGGTAAGTAGCGTCTGGGGTCTTAAAAACTTGAGAGCGGCCATCTAAGATATAACTATTGGTGTCTACTCATCTGGAGTAAAAGACAACGAAGGAAACCAAAGATTCAAAGGAGAAATTAGTCCATAGGACTAAAAGCCTACACAAATCTCAGCCTCATCTAGCCTGAGAACAGAAGAATTAGATGGTGCCTGGCTACCACTACCAACTGTTCTGACTAAGGACACAACAGAAAGTTCTGGAAAAACGGGGGAAAATGTAGAATACAACTCAAATTCCTAAAAAAAAGACTAGATTTACCAGACTTACGGAGACTAGAGGAACCCTGAGACTATCCCACTAAGATACACTTTGAACTTGGAACTGAAGCCACTCTCAGAGTCACCTTTCAACCAAATAACAGACTGGCTTACAAAATAAACAATATCACCTGAGAGTACTGTGCTCCCTTAAATATCAACTATATGAGGCCAAATGGTCAATATTTACCCTAGAAGAAATGACAGAGTTAGGAAATAGCCATTTGGTATTTTTCAGAGTATAGTATCTGATTCAAGTAAGATTTATCAATGGATGCCAAAACATGAAATTTTGATAAGGAACAGAATAGTTTCTTAGTCTCAAAGTATCTCCCCACAAAATACTTACCAATAAGTACAACATACTAATTAACTATAAGGCTGAGAAATTTGGCAAACATCATCTTAAGCAAGTAATAAAATTAAGATTACCAGTAATGGAATCACCATCATGTTGTTCCTCATATACACTAAAAACAACATAGTGTCACTTCTGCTGTCCTCCTGCCCAAAATGCATAAATCATGAGGAAATAGCAGACAAACCCTTACTGAGAAACATTCTACAAAGTAACTAGTCTATACTCTTCAAAAATTCCAAGATCATGAATGACAAGGAAAAAAATGAGGAACTGAGCTCTGGTAGCATAGTGCCTAAGGCACTTGGCTGCTAGCCACAAGACTGGTGGCTCAAACCCACCAGCCACTCCTCGGAAGGAAGGTTGGGCAATCTACTTCCATAGTGATGTTGTTGTTGTTGTTATGTGCGGTGGAGTCTGCCGACTCATAGCGACCCCTCCATGGGTTTCCGAGGCAGTATCACTACGGAAGTAGACTGCCCCATCTTCCTTCCGAGGAGTGGCTGGTGGGTTTGAACCGCCAGCCTTCTGGTTAGCAGTCAAGTGCCTTAG